GCAAAGTGGGGAAGACCTAAAGGCCACAAGACCAGTCAAGCAAGCAAGCTCAGAGTGGATCACAACGTCACCACAAATCTGAGCACAAGGTCAAAGCCACAAGGCCAGTTCACATGCAGGATTATATATAAAGGCAAACAAGCAAGAGCAGGTATACAGAAAACGCAGTACAAGCAAGGTCAAGAAGTGAGCAAGTGAGGCCAAGTGGGCACAAGACCTAGCATCGTACAGAAGCGCTGATGATCACCAGGCGGAAGTGCCTTGGTGAAGATATCAGCAGTGTTGGCCCGAGTGGCCACGTAAGCAAGGCGCAGCTGACCACGCTGCTGCAGCTCACGTGCAAGGAAGTAGCGGAGAGCAATGTGCTTCGTTCTGTGCTCCAGTCTGTGCTCCCGACACAAGGCCAGCATTGCCTTGTTGTCTACGTACAGAACTGGAGGAGAACGAGGCGGCTCTCCCAGGTCAGTCAGCAGGTAGGTAAGCCAGCGTAACTCCTGTGCAGCCATGGCTCCTGCGTAGATCTCAGCCTCACAGCTAGAGCTGAGAACAGACGACGAGCGGGTAGACCGCCACGAAACAGAGCCGGAGCCAAGGCTGAAAGTGTAACCCTGTGACGACCGCTGAGTAGCCAGGTCGTCAACCCAAGAAGCGTCTGCGTGACCAGTGAGGACCACTGGACTCTGCCCTCCAAGCACTAGCCCCATGCCCGACGTACTGCACAAGTAGCGCAACACCCTCTTCGCTGCAGCCATGTGCTCTGGTCGGTGTCTCCCAGGAGCAACATAGCGTGCCAGGATGCTAAGAGGGTATGCAAGGTCAGGTCGTGTGCAGGTCATCAGGTACATGAGGCAGCCAACAAGCTCTGGGTACGGGCCACTCGGCTCTACGGACTCATCCGAAGGCAGAGCTGAGAGCGAGTGGCGAGTAGACAGAGGAGTGGCCTGAGGCGAGGAGTACGTGAAGTCGAAGCGCTGAAGGACCTGCTGCACCATGTGTGACTGAGACAGTGTAATGGTGCGCCGTGCTCTGTCCCGGGTGATCTGCAAGCCAAGGTAGCTGCGCAGTTCACCCAGGTCTGTGCACGTGTGTCGCTTCTGCAGCTCGGAATTCACGTGGGCGAGTCCAGCAGTGTCAGCTGTAGCAAAGACCAAGTCGTCGACGTACACGAGGATGTAGAACGGCGGCAAAGAGGTGTCGGTGCGCAGAAACAGCGACGGGTCGGCAGTAGAAGGAGCAAACCCAAGAGCCGCAAGCGTAGTCCTCAGTGTGTCGTGCCACTCACGCGGCGCCTGGCGGAGACCGTAGACCGGCCGTCGGAGGCTCCACTGGGTGCCAGGAGGAAACGTCCTAGTGAAGCCAGGTGGGCGGCGCAGCCAGATCTCCTCGTGCAGACTGCCCTGTAGGAAAGCTGTGCTGAAGTCAAGAGAGTGAAGCTCGTAGTCACGGTGAGCGGCTATGTGCAACAGCACCCGAAGAGTGGTCATCTTCGGGGTGGGAGAGAAGGTCTGAAAGTAGTCAACTCCCTGCCGCTGACTGAAGCCTCGAGCCACGTAACGCGCCTTGAAGACAGGCGGAGAACCCGGCGGCCGCTTCACCCTGAAGATCCACATGCCACTGACGATGTTCGCCCCAGGTGGGGGAACCTCGTCAACGTAGGTGCCTGTGGACTTCCAGGAAGCCATCTCTGCGTCCATGGCTGACTGCCACTGAGAGGAGTAGGGACCCTCTATCGCCTCCGCGTAAGAACGCGGAGTCGGGATGTCTGGTGCATCCGGGTCTCCCTCAGGGGCAAGTAGCGAGGACACAAGATGAGGTAAAGCAGCAGCAAGACACTGAAACTCCTCCTGCCTGTCCTCAAGGACGTCCGTGCTAAGAGCACACTCACCCCCGACGAACGGTACGACCAGAACGAACAGGCGAGACAGGACACGACGCAGGCTCACGACGCTCAGCAGGACTGCCTGTCTGCTCAGTGTAAGGAGAGGGAGCAGGTAGCGGTGAGCCAGTCTGTAACGGAAGACCAGTAGACGACGGGAGAGTAACAACCTGACGAAGAGCAGAGTCAGGCGGCGGCAGGGACGACGGAGACGGCGGAGCGAAGAACAGTCGTGTCGGCGCAGCTGCACCAGTACCAGCAGCTCCAGCACCTCCAGCAGCTCCAGCGCCTCCAGCAGCTCCAGCAGCTCCAGCCTCAGAACCGGTACCTCCAGCGCCAGTAGCTCCAGAACCAGCGTCACCAGCAGCAGCACCCCCAGAACCGGCACCTGCAGTCCCAGGGTCTCCAACCGCACTGTCTCCCGCAGCAGCACCCCCAGAACCAGCACCTCCAGTCCCAGGGTCTCCAACCGCAGCGTCTCCCGCAGCAGCACCCCCAGAACCAGCACCTCCAGTCCCAGGGTCGCCAGCCTCAGTGTCTCCAGCAGCGGCACCTCCAGACGCAGCACCCCCAGCCCCAGCAGCTCCAGTACCTCCAGCAGCAGAGCCCCGGGCTCCAGCAGTGCGACGCTGACGGCGACCGTACCAGTCGTGCAGCTGCTGAGGGGTGAGAGGCACACGCGGACGAAGGCGGCCACTCCAAGTAGGCCGCGCACCAGCAGTCCCAGTACCCTCAAGCGTCTCACCTCCAGCCTCAGCACCCCCAGACTCTGCACGCACAGGCTCAGTACCCCCAGACACAGCACCCCCAGGCGCAGGACCTCCAGTCTCCTCACGCGCAGGCTCAGCACCCCCAGACTCAGCACCCCCAGACTCCGCACCCCCAGACGCAGCACCTCCAGGAGCTCCACCCTCAACAGCACCAGAGTCAACAGGAACCGGCTGCGAAGGCGGCGAAGAAGGTCGCGGAGGGAACCCCGGAGGAGTCGCCAAGCGTGGTGCGCGGCGGTAGGCCGCCGGGGCGTCAGCAACAGCGTCACCCCCCTCAGGTGGGCCAGAGGTGTCGGAAGTGACCTCCAAAGGCTCAGCCAAGGGGGGGGGGTCTACCTGAGACACACCTGAAGGAGCAGGACCCTGAGGGGGGAGGGGGTCTACCGGGGGGGGACCTGGCGTAAGGAAGAGCGGCGGGGGGGGGGAAGAGGGGCAGCGCGGTAGGGGAAGAGACGGTAGTACGGAACCGACTCGTCAAACGTGACGTCCTGGGAGGACAGAACACGGCGCGAGGTGGGGTGGTAAAACTGCCAACCAGGCGCGTCAGGGGGGAAGCCAAGGAAGACGCAGGGAACAGCACGGGAGGACAGCTTGTCCGTAGACAAGTCTCGGACAAAAGCCCGAGATCCCCAGACACGAAACGCAGACGCATCGCCAACCTGCCCCGTCCACCTCAGAGTGGGGGAGGTGTCCGGCATGGAGACCCGGGGCTGAAGGTTGATCTGACGCGCCGCGTACTGAACCGCAAACGGCCACAGAAAATGGGGAGCAGCCGCATGGATCATGGACGTGCGAGCGACATCCATGACCATGCCAATGCGGCGCTCAGCAATCCCATTTTGCTGCGGAGAGGCCGGAAGCGTGAACGTCTGGCGGATGCCCCTCGCACGACAGAAGGCTCGCAGAGGGCCGGAGGAAAACTCTCCACCTCTGTCAGAGTGCAGACGCAGAACAGGAAAGTCCGAGCCGAAACTCTTCCTGAGCTGGAGACGAGCCGCGCGGATCCAGTCGATCTGTCAAAACATATGCATGTTAGTATCTAGGCTATATTGGGGCTAGCCTTAAGGGGTACAGAAACTCACTCGACACTCTAGTCTTGTACCCCAACCTCCACCTAATCACACATACTCTTCTCATTCTAACATGGCATCAGAAGCCTAGGTTAGGAACCTAGGACCACCTTGTACTAAGGGCCCGCCCTTCCGCTAGCGCCCTCGAGCGCCTTCTTCCTTTCGTGCGCCCTCGCGCGCCTCGTTTCCTGGTCGCGTAGCCCGCTAGACGACCGCGCGCGGCCCCCTTTTTGCCCGCGCGCGGCCTCGTTTTTTGCCCGCTAGCAGCCTGCGCGCGGCCCGAATCGCGTGCGCGACGACCATAGGCCGCTCGCGCGGCTCGATCCGCCCACGAGCAGGTCGCTAGCCGCCCGTCGGCCCGCCCGTAGGGCTTCGCGTCGCCCGTAGGCCGCCGCCCCTGCTTTCGTAGCCGCTGCCTGCGCGCGAGTGCAGCCCACGCCCGACCGCTCGCCCCTAGGACGGCGCTCGTAACGCCGCCGCCCGCCCGCAGGTCGCAGCCCGCGCGCAGTGGCGATCGCGCGTCGGCTGCTGCAGCTCGCGCTTAGCTGCAGCTCGCGCTTAGCTGCAGCTCGTGCTTAGCTGCAGCAGGACCCCAGCCGCGGCCTGCACGCAACTGCAACCCTAGGCGCCGCCGCGCACCGTGCATAGGCCCGCCGTTGCGCTGCCCTACCTGCCCGAGCCGCGCCGCCCTGACTGAGCCTACTGTTTAGGGTTTAGGGTTTTGCAGCACCTACTGTCCCTGTTCCTGCTGTTACAGCTGTTCTTCTCACTACAGTTGTTCCTACTACTGCTCTTACTGCCGCTACTGCCACTATGGCTACACCCACAGTTCTCTCTTTCGATGCTGAGGGCCGTCCGCTCCAGTTTGATGCTTGGCTTGACGATCTCCACCTTTTCCTCCAGATCACCGCTAAGGATGACGTCTCGCTGTATGACCACGCGTCCGGAACCGCTCTCGCACCTGCTGACACTGCTGACAGTACAGCTCGCTCCCAGTGGCAGACTCGTGACGCCCACGCTCGCCTAGCCATTCGCAGCCACCTGCCGTTAGATGAGCGCGCGCACTTTGGCCAGCACAAGACTGCTAAGGAGCTGTACGATGCAGTAGTCGCCCGCTACTCCTCACCTGCCTCCGCTACGATAGGCCGTCTCTCTCTGCCCTATCTTTTCCCCGATCTCGCCGCCTTTCCCACAGTCGCTGACCTCATTACACACCTCCGCACCAGTGACACTCGCTTCCGAGCCGCCCTCCCTGCTGAGTTTCTCGCCAAGAACCCCCCACCGATGTACCTCGTTCTCTACCACCTAGTCACCCGTCTCCCTGACTCTCTTCGCGCAGTCAGGGACCACTTTCTCGCCCTCTGCCCTACCGAGCTCACCATTGACCTGCTCGAGAAGCATCTGCTTGCAGCTGAGGCTAGTATAGTTGCTGTAGGTGCCTCTCGTGGCGACCCCCGCACGCCCTTCTTCGACGGGTGTTCCCCTTCCCCCCTTCTCCCCTCGGTTGCCTCTGCTGCCGCTGTCGACTTCCTCGGTGCTGAGGACGTCGGGGCTGCGTCTGCTCCTAGCTGGAGGCGCAAGAGCGGCAAGGGCAAGGGGGGCAAGGGTGGCGGCGGTACCAGTGGGGGAGGTGGGGGTGGCGGTGGAGGTGGAGGCGGTGGGGGTGGTGGCGGTGGTGGGGGTGGTGGCGGGGCTGGGGGGGTCAGTGGCAGCGGCGGAGGTGGCAGCGGCGGGGGTGGCAGCGGCGGGGGTGGTGGCGGCAGTGGTGGTGGGGGAGGCCGGGGTGGAGGTGGTGGTGGTGGCGGCAGTGGGCGTGGTGGCGGCGGCTCGGGTGGTGGTCGGGGTGGACCAGCGCAGCGTGGAGGCTCGGGTGGTGCCCAGCGCCAGCAGCAGCGTCTTGGAGAGACCCCGTCGTCCCAGCAGCTTCGTGAGTGGTACTCTCAGCATGGGGGGTCTGGGGGTGGAGGCACCTGCACGTATGTCATCCGCACCGGTGACCGCGCTGGTCAGACGTGTGGGCGTTTCCACACGCCGCACCGCTGCTTCTTTCGTCTAGACGATGCCTGGCGTGCACAGTTCCCGGAGGCCTCTGAGCTGCCCCGCTGGGCTGATCTGCTTAAAAAGAACATTGATGTATTTGCACTTGACTTTGATGTTATTCTTGGAGCCATGTATGCATTGACTATTAGTGTTGAGGGTGACTGTTACTTGTGTGTGCCACCAGACCCAGGCATTGCGACCAGTGAGGCTGCCGCTCTAGGTGCTAGTGCGTCCGCTGCCCCAGGTCCTGGTGAGACAACTGCTCTAGGTGCAGGTGTGTCTGCTGCCCCAGGTGCTTGTGAGACTGCGCCTTCAGGTACAGCGTCTACTGCGGCACTGCACACCTTCACCCTGGACTCAGGTGCTTCCCGCTGTTTCTTTCGCGACCGCACTGCCCTCGAGCAGCTTCCTAGACCGGTTGCTGTCTCCCTGGCTGACCCCTCCGGGGGTCCGGTTCTTGCGACCTCCTCCACTGTCCTCCCGTGTCCTGCGGTCCCGTCTGGCACCCTGTCAGGTCTTTACCTCCCCTCGTTCTCTACGAACTTGGTGGCGGGCTCTGCTCTCCAGGATGGGGGTGTTCACCAGTTCACCCCTGCCTATGAGCGTGTGACCCACTGTACGTGTGCCCGGACGGGTCGCCACCTTGCTACCTTCACTAGGGAGCCGGGGTCGGACTTGTACACACTAACCACTGAGTCCCCTCAGGTCGCTGCGTCTGCGTCTGCGTCAGGTCAGCTGTCGGCCCCCTGCTTGTGTCGCTCCCTGTCCCACCAGACTGTCCTCTGGCACCACCGCCTTGGTCACCCGTCAGTGCAGCGCCTTCGCGGCATGCACCGTCGCCTCCTTGTCTCTGGTCTTCCCCGGGTTCTCCCTCCCCTCCCACCCTCGCCTGCGCCTCCCTGTCTTCCCTGTGTCGAGGGGCGGCAGCGCGCCGCTCCTCACTCCTCCGAGTTTCCCCCGACAGAGGCTCCTCTGCAGACACTCCACATGGACGTGTGGGGCCCCGCCCGCGTCCGTGGACAGGGCGGGGAGCGCTACTTTCTGCTGGTAGTTGACGACTACACGCGTTACACCACGGTCTTCCCCTTGCGCACCAAGGGTGAGGTCCCTGATGTCTTGATCCCTTGGATCCGCACTACCCGTCTCCAGCTGGAGAGGCGCTTTCGCTCGGACCTTCCAGTCCTGCGACTGCACTCTGATAGAGGTGGTGAGTTTTCCTCCGACCTCTTGAGAGCCTTCTGTCAGGGGGAGGGCATTGAGCAGACGTTCACGCTTCCGGCCTCTCCGCAGCAGAATGGGGTTGCTGAGCGCCGCATTGGCCTGGTCATGGAGGTCGCTCGTACCTCCTTGGTCCATGCGGCTGCCCCCCACTTTCTGTGGCCGTTTGCGGTACGGTACGCCGCGCATCAGCTCAACCTCTGGCCCCGTGTCTCTGACCCGGACACCTCGCTGACACTGCGTTGGACGGGAGAGGTTGGCGATGCGTCGGTGTTTCGAGTCTGGGGATCTCGTGCCTTTGTCCGCGATGCGTCCGCGGACAAGCTCTCCTCCCGTACCCTCCCCTGTGTCTTCCTTGGCTTTGTCCCTGACGCGTCTGGCTGGCAGTTTTACCACCCTGCCTCGCGCCGTGTCTTCCCTTCTCAGGACGTCACGTTTGACGAGTCGGTCCCCTTCTACCGTCTCTTCCCCTACCGCACTGCCCCGCTCCCCCCTCCGCCGCTCTTCCTCACTCCAGGTGCTGCTGTGGTAGACCCCCTGCCTCCCCAGGGTCCTGCAACCTCAGGTGTTTCCCAGGTAGACCCGGTCGAGCCTGTCGAGGTAGCTGTCGACTCTGGTCCTGCGCGAGGTACTGAGCCTGAGCGTGCCGAGCCTGGTGGTGCTGGGTCTGGTGGTACCGAGACTGGGGGTGCTGAGCCTGGGGGTGTGGAGACTGGGGGTGCTGAGCCTGGGGGTGCTGCCGCTGGGGGTGCTGGGCCTGAGGGTGCTGACACTGGGGGTGCTGCGCCTGGGGGTGCTGACACTGGGGGTACTGAGCCTGGGGGTGCTGTGCCTGGGGTTACTGAGCCTGGGGGTGCTGCGCCTAGAGGCACTCTTTCTTCCTTGGAGCTGCGTGAGTGGTACTCTCGGTACTGCCGCCGCCACAGTGGTACTGTGGGAGCTGGGAGTACTGTTGACACTGGAGCTGAGGGCGCTGGAGCTCCTGGTGCTGGTGTGGCTGCCGACCCTGGGGTTGGCGCTGGAGGTGCTGGAGCTGCTGGGCCTGGAGGTGCTGCTGGAGCTACTGGAGGAGCGAGTGCTGCTGGAGCTGGAGGTGCAGGTGCTGACGGTGCTGCTAGAGCTGGTGCTGAGTCTGGGGGTGTTGCTGCTGGGGACACTTCGACAGGAGACCCTGGGACTACAGGTGCCGGCTCTGGGGGTGCTCCTGCTAGTGACGCTGGTCCTGGAGGTGCTGGAGCTGCTGGAGGTGGTGGAGCTGCTGGTGCTGGGGGCACTGCGCAGCCACGACTGTTCTTTGCTCCGCCGTCTCCATCGTCTCTGCCACCGCCTGACGCTGCTCTTCGTCAGGTTCTTACCCTCCCGTCGTCTACTGGTCTTCCGTTACAGCCTGGCTCACCACTGCCTGCCCCTTCTCCTTACACTGAGCAGACAGGAGGTCTTGCTGAGCGTCGTGAGCCTGCGTCTCGTCCTGCGTCGCCCGTTCGCACTGCTCGCACTAGTCCTCGTGTCCCACGTCCGCGTCCTCCTCCTGTCCCTGGCACGCACCAGATGACACTTCGTCCGTCCACTGCTCCACTGCGTGTTCCACTGCCGTCCCCCCCTGCGTCTTCTCTGCCTGACGTTCCAGACCCTGAGTCTGACCGTGTACGTGCTGCTCACCCTACTGTCACGCGTCTCCTGGCCACTGTTGTCACTGACCCTTCCTTTGAGTCCGCTGCTGCGTCTGCCTTAGTTGCTGAGCTTGTCGACTTTGCTGCTCACTGTCGTCTAGACTACGCCGCGAGTCTAGTTGCTGAGTCTGAGTCTGTCTGTCCTCCGTCCGTCGGGGGTGAGTGTGCTCTTGGCACGGACGTCCTTGAGGACAGGCAGGAGGAGTTTGAGTGCTTTGCCGCTGCTGTACCTCATCTCGTGTCCATGCTGATTGCACCTGAGGGAGACCCGGATGCACCAGACATCCCGACCCCGCGCTCTTACGCTGAGGCGATCGCGGGTGAGTACTCCTCTCAGTGGCAGACAGCCATGGACGCAGAGATGGCCTCCTGGAAGTCCACTGGCACTTACGTCGACGAGGTTCCCCCTCCTGGGGCGAACATCGTCAGTGGCATGTGGATTTTCAGGGTGAAGCGGCCGCCAGGTTCTCCGCCTGTCTTCAAGGCTCGTTACGTTGCTCGAGGCTTCAGTCAGCGAGAGGGAGTAGACTTCTTCCAGACCTTCTCCCCCACCCCGAAGATGACCACTCTTCGGGTGCTGCTGCACGTTGCCGCTCACCGTGACTACGAGCTTCACTCTCTAGACTTCAGCACAGCTTTCTTGCAGGGCAGCCTGCACGAGGAGATCTGGCTGCGCCGCCCCCTGGGCTTCACTGGGTCGTTCCCTCCTGGTACCCAGTGGAGCCTCCGGCGGCCAGTCTACGGTCTCCGCCAGGCGCCTCGTGAGTGGCACGACACACTGAGGACTACACTTGCGGCACTTGGGTTTGCTCCCTCCACAGCTGACCCGTCGCTGTTTCTGCGCACCGACACTTCACTGCCTCCGTTCTACATCCTCGTGTACGTCGACGACTTGGTGTTTGCCACTGCGGACACTGAGGCTCTCGCCCACGTGAAGTCGGAGCTGCAGAAGAGACACACGTGCACAGACTTGGGTGAGCTGCGCAGCTACCTTGGCTTGCAGATCACCCGGGACAGAGCACGCCGCACCATCACCCTGACTCAGTCACACATGGTGCAGCAGGTCCTTCAGCGCTTCGGCTTCACCTGGTCCTCAGCACAGGCCACTCCTCTGGCTACAGGTCATTCGCTCTCAGCTCCACCTTCGGACGAGTCCGTAGAGCCGAGTGGTCCTTACCTAGAGCTAGTTGGCTGCCTCATGTACCTGATGACTTGCACTCGTCCTGACCTCGCGTACCCTCTTGGTCTTCTGGCTCGCTACGTGGCTCCTGGTCGGCACCGACCTGAGCACATGGCTGCTGCTAAGAGGGTACTGCGCTACTTGTGCAGCACATCAGGCATGGGGCTAGTGCTTGGAGGGACGAGCCCAGTTGTTCTCACTGGGCACTCAGACGCTTCTTGGGTTGACGACCAGGCTACTCAGCGGTCGTCACAGGGTTACACCTTCAGCCTTGGCTCTGGTTCAGTTTCGTGGCGTTCTACACGCTCGTCTTCAGTTCTCAGCTCCAGTTGTGAGGCTGAGATCTACGCCACAGCCATGGCTGCACAGGAGTTGCGCTGGCTCACCTACCTGCTGACTGACTTGGGAGAGCAGCCTCGTTCTCCTCCAGTGCTGTACGTCGACAACAAGGCCGCCATTGCCTTGTGTGAGGAGCACAGACTGGAGCACAGAACAAAGCACATCGCTCTGCGTTACTTCCTGGCTCGAGAGCTGCAGCAGCGTGGTCAGCTTCGTCTGCGTCACGTGGCCACTCGGGCCAACACTGCTGATATATTCACTAAGGCGCTTCCGTCTGGTGATCATCAGCGTTTCTGCACTTTGCTAGGGCTTGTGCCCACATTTCCTCACTTGCTGTAGGCCTTGCTTGTACTGTGATCTATATATATATATATATATATATATATATATATATATATATATATATATATATATATATATATACGTGCATGTTTGCATTGCTAGGTAGAGATCACTGTGCTGTTCTTGCTGCTTATATACCTCTACATGTGGACTGGCCTTGTGGCCGTTTGTTTGTGCTCAGTGTGTGTGGTGACGTTGTGATCCACCCTGAGCCGTGTTTTGTTTCTTCTCTTGACTGGTCTTGTGACCATTGCTTGCTCTGGCTATCCCCCATTTCGCCTATGGGGGTGTGTCAAAACATATGCATGTTAGTATCTAGGCTATATTGGGGCTAGCCTTAAGGGGTACAGAAACTCACTCGACACTCTAGTCTTGTACCCCAACCTCCACCTAATCACACATACTCTTCTCATTCTAACACGATCAACACCTCAGTGACCTCATCCTTGCGGCGCAAGGGGAAGACTGTGGTGTAACGCGAGTAGTCGTCAACCACCAGCAGGAAGTAGCGCTCGTGACCCTGTCCTCGGACGCGGGCTGGGCCCCACACGTCCATGTGAAGAGTCTGCAGCGGAGCCTCTGTCGGCGGAAGCTCGGAGGAGTGAGGGGCGGCGCGCTGCCGCCCCTCGACGCAGGGGACGCAGGTAGGGGCAGGCCCCGGAGGGAGGGGAGGGAGCGACCGGGGGAGACCAGAGACCAGGACACGAGAGGCCATGCCTCGGAGACGAGGCAGGGAGGGGTGACCAAGACGGTGGTGCCAGAGAAGAGTCTCGTGGGACAGGAGGCGACACGAGCAGGGGGCAGACTCAGGACCAGACCGAGACGCCGCAGCAAACACCTGACCCGACGCAGCTACCTGACCAGGCACAGCAACCGGAGGAGACTCGGTAGTCAGGGTGTACAGGCTCGACCCCGGCCGACGGGTAAACGTGGCCAAGTGTCGGCCCGTGTCCGCACACGTGCAGTGGGTCACCCGCTGACGCGCAGGGGTGAATTGGTCAACCCCCCCATCTTGTAGGTCAGCACCCGCCACCAAGTTCGTAGAGAACGAGGGGAGGTAAAGACCCGACAGGGAGCCAGACGGGACCGCTGGACACGGTAGGACAGTGGAGTAGTGGGCAAGAACAGGACCCCCAGAGGGGTCTGCCAGGGAGACTGCAACCGGCCGACTGAGCGGCGTGAGAGTGGTGCGGTCTCGAAAGAAGGAGCGGGAAGCACCCGAGTCAAGGGTGAAAGTGTGCGACGCCGGAGCAGACGTGGTACCTGAGAGAGCAGACTCACCAGCACCTGGAGCAGCAGACTCACTAGCACCTGGAGTAGCAGACGCACCGTCCGGGTCGGGCGGAACACTCAGGGAACAGTCACCGGCATCACTAGTAGACAATGCATACATGGCAGTGAGGATAGCATCATAGTCAAGAGCATAGATATCTACCCTCTGCCGGAGCAGCTCCACCCAGTCGGGGAGCTCAGCCGCGTCGCCAAACTCTGTACGCCAGGCGTCGCTCAGACTGGCGAAGCAGCGGGACTCTGTGTGACCAAACGTCCCGCAAGGCTGGCCAGTCCGAGCACCAGTGCGAATGACGTACGGGCAGCGAGCAGAACCCCGTGACCCCCCCCCGCTGAAAGTACCACTCATGAAGCTGCGAGGGCGAAGGGACCGCGCGCACACGACGCTGCAGCTGCACCTGGCCACTACAAGAAGCCCCGACACTACTCACGCCAGAACGACTCCCACTACGGCCACCCCGACAACCCCAACGAGCGTACCACTCATGAAGCTGTGGGGGCGTGAGGGACTCACGCGGACGGCGCTGGAGCTGCATCTGGCCACGCCAGGAGCAGCAGTTTCAGTAGAAAGCGCAGGAGCAGCAGTAGCAGTAGAAAGCGCAGGAGCAGTAGGAGCAACACGAGTAGTAGTAGCAGCAGGAGCAGCAGTAGCAGTACTAGCAGCAGTAGTAGTAGAAAGAGCAGTAGCAGCAGGAGCAGCGGTAACAGCAGTACAGGCAGGACAGTGCTCACCAGTGGCAAGAAGGGCAGGCGTACGACGGCGGCAACGGCAACGTCGGCACCACTGCAGGGCGAGGGCTCCGCGGCAGCTGCAGGGGGGGGGGGGGGGGGGGGGGGGGGGGGGGCAGCTGCTCCAGGGGCGGCTGCTCCAGGGGCCAGGGGCGGCTGCTGCAGGGGCGGCTGCTCCAGGGGCCAGGGGCGGCTGCTGCAGGGGCGGCTGCTCCAGGGGCCAGGGGCGGCTGCTGCAGGGGCGGCTGCTTTAGGGGCCAGGGGCGGCTGCTCCAGGGGCGGCTGCTGCAGGGGCCAGGGGCGGCTGCTACAGAGGCCAGGGGCGGCTGCTGCAGGGGCGGCTGCTCCAGGGGCAGGGGCGGCTGCTCTAGGGGCCAGGGGCGGCTGCAGCAGGGACGGCTGCTCCAGGGGCCAGGGGCGGCTGCTGCAGGGGCGGCTGCTCCAGGGGCCAGGGGCGGCTGCTGCAGGGGCGGCTGCTCCAGGGGCCAGGGGCGGCTGCTGCAGGGGCGGCTGCTGCAGGGGCGGCTGCTGCAGGGGCGGCTGCTCCAGTGGCCAGGGGCGGCTGCTGCAGGGGCGGCTGCTCCAGGGGCCAGGGGCGGCTGCTGCAGGGGCAGCTGCTCCAGTGGCCAGGGGCGGCTGCTGCAGGGGGCCGCGAAGGGGGGGCCGCAAGGGGCCGTGAGGAGGCCACGAAGGGGCCGCAAAGAGGGGGGGGGGCACGAGGGGCCGAGAAGGGGGGGCCGTGACGAGGCCGCGGAGGAGTCGCGACGAGGTCGCGAAGGGGCCGCGCCGAGGTCGCGACGGGGTCGCGAAGGAGTTGCGACGGGGTCGCGACGGGGCCGCGACGGGGTCGCGACGGAGTCGCGACGGTATCGCGACGGGGTCGCGACGAGGTCGCGACTGGGCCGCGACGGGGTGGCGAGGGGGTCGCGACGGGGTCGCTAAGGGGGGGCCACGAAGGGCCTAAGAGGGGGGGCCGCGAAGGGGCCTTGAGAGGGGCCGCGAAGGGCCTAAGAGGGGGCCGCGACATGCCTTAACAAGGCAGGCCTCTAAGAGGCCGCGAAATTTTCGGGCAGGGCGCAAAGCGCGCCTC